TGTGTGTGTGTGTGTGTAGGTGGTGGAGCGTGGCGGCGTGCTGGTCTCTGACAGGAAGAGGGCAGAGTTCAGTAGTAAGGACATGGTACAGGATCTCAACAGGCTGCTTCGAGCCAAGAGAGGAGAGACCACTGCCAGCAGCACGCTGCCTGAGCTGGAGAAACAGGTGAACAAATCAAACGATGTTTCCTAAGCTGACATTAGGTTCTAAGTGTCATAATGGTCAAACCCCTTGAGGCACACTTTTAATTTTTGATACTTGGTAAATAAAAATGATTTGAATAGCTCTGTATCAGAAACATGTGACCAGAGTGTGTGTGTGTGTGCGCGTGCGTTGTCATTCTCAGGTGGCGATGTCCTGCTTGGCTGCAGTAGTGCGTTTCCTGGAACTGCTCTCCGATGAGTCCAACTTCAACTCCTTCAGTCTGACCACTCTGGACCTGGGTCAGTACATGAGGCTGGACAATGCTGCAGTGAAGGCTCTCAACCTCTTCCAGGTCAGTGCCAGGAACCAGGACAAAAAGGCACAGAGGCAGTTGTTTTACAAAGGAAGTTTATTTGTTCATAATACAAAAAAAAAGTAAAAGTACTTAAGTTGAGTTTAAGACTTGTGTCCTGTGAGAGTTGTGGAAAATGAGTAACTTGTGAAATGCCACAGCTTATGCCCTGAATTGGTCAGGATTTTAAAAGTGATCCTCTTGTTTTGTTGGTGCTCACGCTTTTGCCTCTGATATAACAACACACTTGATGTGGATGAGTGATATAACATCTGTATTATCCAGGCTTCACCCGACGACACCAGCAGAAGTCATTCGCTGGCCGGTCTCTTGAACAAGTGCCGCACACCGCAGGGTCAGCGGCTCGTCAACCAGTGGATCAAACAACCTCTTATGGACAGAACCAAAATAGAGGAGAGGTAAATGACATGTCCACAGCCAATCAGGGTGTGGTTTAGAAGAACAAAATAAAGCAGATGGAAGTCAAACTCTTTCTTTTCCTCCGTTCATTCTCCCATTCAACTTAATAAATTCAGCTTCAGTATTTAGGTCACATGAAAAAATCAATCACTGTCATCAGCTTCCTAACATTGAAGAATAAGGACATTAACAGTGTGACATGTTATGACTCGTGTTTCTGTCACTATTGCTTGTTGTTATTGATTAATCTGATCATTTCCTCGATTAATTGTTAATTTGTTTGTTCGGAAAACCGTCAGGAAATAAAGTTTTCAAATGTCTCTTGACGTGTCTCCCTCTATCTCGCTCTGTGTGTGTGTGTGTGT